AGGCTCGACTGGTTGCGAAGGGCTTTACTCAAACCCCAGGGGTTGACTATGATGAGACCTTCTCATCAGTGGCTAAGATTAAATCTATTATGGTTATGTTATCCATATTTGCGTTTCATGATTATGAAATCTGGCAGATGAATGTCAAAACCGCTTTCCTTAATGGAAAGTTGGTTGAGGATGTTTACATGAGTCAGCCAGGGGGTTTTATGGATGCTAAATACCCTAATAGAGTGTGTAAGCTTGAGAAATAAATCTATGGATTGAAACAAGCTTCTCGTATATGGAATCTTTGCTTTGATGAGAAGGTCAAAGACTTTGGTTTCTCTAGGAGTGAATATGAATCTTGTGTACATGTCAAAGCTAGTGGGAGTATAGTCACCTTCCTGGTATTGTATGTTGATGACATACTACTTATAGGAAACGACGTTCCAACTTTACAGGAGGTTAAGTCCTGGCTTGGAAAGTGTTTTGCTATGAAGGATCTAAGAGAGGCTGGTTATATTCTGGGAATAAGGATTTTGAGAAATAGGAGTAGAAGACTAATTGGACTTAGTCAAAGCACGTATTTGGATAAAGTGCTAAAGCGTTTTAGCATGGAAAATTCAAAGAAGGGAGAGTTACCTATCCAGAGTAATACCAAGCTGAGTAAGACTCAGAGTCCGAGTACCGATGCAGAGGTATCAGAGATAAGTCGAGTTCCATATGATTCCTCCGTTGGATCGATCATGTACGCTATGACATGTACTCGCCCTGACGTGGCTTTTGCTTTGAGCATGGTTAGTCGATATCAGGGAAATTCGGGTAAAGCTCATTGGATAGTGGTTAAGAACATCCTTAAGTATCTACGAAGGACGAAGGACTGGGCCCTTGTGCTTGGTGGTAGTGATGACTTCAGAATTACTGGGTATAGCGACGCCAGCTTTCAGACAGACAGATACAACTTCCGTTCTCATTCAGGCTGGGTGTTTACCCTTAATGGAGGAGCAGTAACTTGGAAAAGTTCCAAGCAAGAGACCTAAGCTGATTCAACATGTGAGTCAAAGTATATAGCTACGAGCGAAGCGTCAAAGGAGGCTATATGGTTGAAGAACTTCATTGGAGACCTTGGAGTTGTGCCAGCCATTAAGGAGCCGATGGAGATTTTCTGCGATAATGAAGGGGCGGTTTCCTTGACCAAGGAACCAAGAGATCATGGAATAGCTAGGCATATCGACAGAAAATATCATTTTATCAGACATTGAGTAGAAGAAGGACATCTCGTCTTTAAGAGGCTATCATCAGAAGAGAATCCTGCCGATCCCCTCACAAAGGGTCTAAGTAGGATTAAGCACGTTCAGCATGCGAGGAGAATTAGTCTGAAGGATGATATTAGTTTTGGAGATTAGATAGATATTTAGAAACTTGTAACAAATAAATGTAATTGACATTTGATGATTGAATAAATGGAGATTTGTTTATGAGTATTGTTTACTATCTTTTGTCAATTGTTTATCATTGTGTTTAACTTTTGCATGTTTTACTTCCCGAATAATTAGATTGTTCTAAATATCCACAGTCGATCATACTTTGGAAGTAAGTAGTGAATTAAGGTTGTCATTAATTGGGTTGTAGATTGTCTAAGTGTTTAAACATGGCAATGGTTTGCTACAACATTCATGAGTACTTTTGAAATGGGAATTTAAGTATTGGATTAAACTCACGCTCAGTGAATTACTTCATGGAATTTATCACGAGTAATTCTGAGACGATAATATCGTAAAATCTTTAAACCAAGATATATGAGTTGTTGCTTACGAGTTGGTTATGCATTGATAATGTGTAAACGCATCAGTAACTTGGTGTTATAAAATGTATTGTTATGCATCATTTGATGAGTAAATAGTACAAGCATATGATTCAAAGTTTATGTTGGATTAGATGTCTAAGCCCATAACTATTATTGGTATGTACTTAACCCGAGAGTAGCATGGTCCATTTGGGTTGCATATCATCAGGACAATTTGTTAGGATGGACTTTTGAGAGAAGGTTATTTATGGTTTATTAATATATTATAAGTTATAATATATTAATATGAAATCATATGTTTTAATTAGTATCGATCAAGAATTAATTTGGAATTAATTTAGTGATCAAAAGAGACTAATTAAATCTATGGGGACTAATTATGATAATTAGTTATATTTATATGTGTTGGGCTTATGATCCATGTTGGACCAAGTTTATGTATGGATACATAAAGACTTGGGCCACATGAACCATGGATCATAAAACTCATGGGTATGGATTATGGGTTATACCCATGACCCTTGGAATCCTACATATAAATAGGTTACTCCATAGCCAAAATCACCACTTCTTTTCTTAGAGAAATATGGAGGTGTTTTGGTGCATGGAATTCTCTCTCAAGAGCCACCTTTGTCCTAGGTGTGTTGTGATTCCATTTGAGGCATTTCATACTATTGGTGCTAAGCTCTTAAGGCCAAATACATCAAGACTTCAAGCCACATAAAAGGTATGTTTCCCTAACTAGTATATTATATGGTTTATGTCAAATGCATGCTAGTTATAGGTTTAATGCCTTGGAAACCATTTGCATGTATAATAGAGAAAACATAGATCCAAGGTATTTAGGGTTGTATGTGCACCATAGGATGTTGTAGTATACTAAAACCCAACAGTTTATCCGTTCCTTTTTCCCTAAGGGGGAAAAGCGATATCTTGGGCCCCTCGATGATTTGGTGTTGACTTATGTGTCGGGCCCGGTCAGGACTAAATTGATGTGTTCAATTAAAGTCTCTGTCATTACAAATCAGAAATCGAGAAAACAAAATGATGGACAACGAGAATGATTATGTTCCATATCATTTTTCCACATGATATCTTGCAGAACGGAGGATTATATGATCACTTATCTTAGGACACGTAACTGACTAGGTCAGAGTTCGACAGTAGCTTTTGAGAGCTACAATGTGCTGGTCAATTTTGAAGTTATACTTGCAATTATAGTTATTAGACTTATCCAAGTGGGAGACTGTTGGATTAGGTGTCTAAGCCCATAACTGTAATTGGTATATACTTGAATTGATAGTAGCACAGTCCTTTTGGGTTGCTTCACTCTAGCAACTTAACAGTATGACTTTTGGAGAGAAGTTGAATTTATTATTTGGAATAATAAATTGATATAAATGATTTATTAATATATCATGAAAATAATATATTAATTAGAAATCATGTTTTTTAATTAATATATAATCAAAAATTAATTTGGAATTAATTTTGGGATTAAATGAATTAATTAAAAGTATAAGGGGTTGTTTTGCAATTTATTGATAGTTGTGAAATTGGGCTAATGGACTCCATGGAAGAAGTGAATGAAAATTATAGGGAGGCCCTATAAGTTTCTATCCAAGGCCTTATGAATGGGAGTGCATAGGCTGCTTAGGCCTTAAGCAGGAAATTAGGGTTTCCTCCAGCAAACCCTAGTTTTGGCTCTAAGCAACCAACAACTATGTAAAGACCCCGACCCCTTAGGATTTGGGCTACATGCTTCCTAACCCTAAGTAGAGCCGAAATTCTGGTGCTATCTCCTCCTCTCTCCTCTCATCCTCTTCCAAAGAGTGTTTGAAAGCCATTAAAGGTGTCATATTTGAGGCACTTGCTCTCAAGAGTTCAAGATCATCAAGGTTTCATTGTTATTACTACATAACAATAAAGGTATGCATCTAAACCCTAGTTTTGTATAGATTTCGAAATTTGTATTAGCTTCCTAGGGTTTCTCTTTTGTATTCAAGTTTGCATGTTCAACTAGTGAAAACCTAGATCCAAAGCATTAGGGTTGCATGAACACATAGGATTTGTTGTTATGCTCAAAACCCATCAAGTTCAAGCCTGCATATTGTAGTAACAACCGATTGGTTTATTCTGTCTTGCTACAATAAAAAGAATAATTAATTAGACATTTTTGTATGTATGTTACGAAGGACATTACTGAATACACAATTCCAGACCAAAATTCCAGAACACAACTCTGGAGCTACAATCCGAAACGCAATTCCGAACCTAAATTTAAGAACAAAATTTCATAATGTTCATCGTATTGCGGAGGAGTTCTTATTATTCCGGACATGTTTTTCGGATTCCAGACTTGTTCCGGACTAGTCAAAATGAAGTCTTTTATAAGAATTTTGATGTAGCGTACATATATTCCTATATTTAATCATATAATTGTCTTTAAACTAATAAAATTCAAAGAAAAACTAATAATACCTATATAAATACATAAAATATACAGGTTTTAACGTATAGTCTAAAATATAGACATAATTATAAACATAATAGAAACTTACCTAGAAAAAATGCATCTCATCACCGCTATCAGAAGACATTTTCAGTTTTAGTGGTATCTGAAATGCGGGTAATCAGAAATAGGTAAACCAAAATGAGAGATTTCGAAAAAAAATCCGAAACGGGTTAAAATGGTATTTATAAGTGGGACCACATTGTCGGGGCGGATCCATTACCCATTCATCGAATACAAAATCGGGTCAGAAATGACCCATTATCATTTTGCAAAAAAAAAAAAGGTTATTATTAGTAAAATAACATTAGAAAATAGTTAGTTTACTCAATGTCCCAATAAAATAATTATATCAAGTTGATTCATTATATATTTTTTTTCAATTACAAAAACCTATAGAATTTAAAACCCAAAAGACATGTTTTTTTAGCATAACCAAAAATTATTATCCGTGATAGCCAGGTGACTTTTATAAATATGTTCAAGCATCTTATTTTGTTATTTTATTTGGGTAATCTACCAACCATACTACATGTCACTTCATAGAGCCCAGTGGTGTGGGGAGCAATTAAAATTGACATTTCCTAGGCTGTATTGATGCGCCTCAGTTCCAAGAACCCAATCATAACAATTCATCCATAACATTGTAATAAAATTAACTAAATAAATATTACAACATTATATCAACAGTAACAATTTTTAATCAAACTTCTTGTTTTGAGGTTGTAACATGAACAAAAAAATGCCTCCAGCAACAGAAACATTTAAGGACTCAAATTCCCCTGCCATTCTAATGTTTATTAGTTCACATGCCTCATGGGATTCTTTGGAGAGCCCACTCCCTTCACTACCCAAAACTAGACAAACTTTTGTATTTGTTAAAATTCGGGCAAGTTCATGAGAGAGACAAGACACTGGTTTTGATTCATTTTTGCTGCCCGGACTGCCTGCAAGAATTTTCATTTGAAAGCCATTGACAAGAGATTGTAAATGAGACCATGTGCCCGAGACTATTGGTAGTTGAAATGATGCACCTCGGCTTGCTCTAAGTGCTTTCTCATTGAATGGATCACAACATCCGGGGAGTAGAAATGCTCCATCCTGTTGATTTTTAAACAAACGGAAGGGTAAAATGGTCATTTAATCTTTGTTTAAACGGTTCAATCGGTTCAAAAAAGGAAGAATCTTTTGTTCGTTTTAGAAGTTTTATGTGTTGTTTTGTTTTGACCGAAAAATAAAATGACTATTTATTTGAATCTTGTTATAAATAGGTATGACTTATAGATGCAAGGGTAAAATGGTCATTTAATCTCATTTATTCTGTCCAAAAAAGAAAAAGCATTTGTTCATACAACACTTCGTTTAGACAAACATCATTTATTCATATAGCACTTCCTATAGACACACAAGATTTATCCGGATAACATTTCATCAATACAACAGTTAATGGGGAAAAAAAACAGGAACCTAAATAAGCATGGTACTTCTAAACAGAAGGGTAAAATGGTCATTTACTCTCATTGAGATGGTTCATTTAGTCCCAAAAACAGCCTTTGTTCATTCAGCACTTGCTTCAAATAGACATAATTTTTGCATTAACTTTATATAAGCACTTAAGGAGAAAAAAAAATGCCTAAATAATCCTAGTATTTCCTAGACAGAAGGGTAAAATGGTCATTTGCATTCATTCAGATGATTCTACGTTGGTTAATAAAAAACAGTCTTTGCTAATATAACACTTCCTCTCGAAACACATCATTTATCTCGACAGCATTTTATCCATTGAGCACTTAATGCAAAAAAATACCCTAAAAAAGAAGCATATTATGTAAAAAAAAATGAAACTTAGTAAATTACGGAATTACCCATCCGAATGCCACCGCCGATCTTAATAACGTGCCAAGATTACCAGGATCCTGAAATTACATGACAACACAAATCCTACAAAATCAGTTCAAAAATATTAACAGAAACTTATGTTTTCTAGGGCTATTTTTTATTATGAGGATGAGTAGGGGCTTTTACGTCTTTTCCAAACACTAGACATAAAAAGAGAGTCTCTGGTCCACCACCTTGTCCTGCCTTTTTGGATGGGACAAAAGTTACAATTTTGTCCCATTGACATCGCTCTCAGTCTCAGTCCAATGTAAGCCAAACACAAACACAAACACAGTATAAGGTCGTCTTGTTCTATTCGACAAATGTTATTAACACATGAATTTATAGAATTTATAATTGGGGAAATAACCTGGATTCCATCAAGAACAAGAATTCGGTATGCAGATGGGAACCATTTTGAAAAATCTTGATGGTCGTTGTTTTCTAAAGAGTGAAAAGTTGACGGAATTTTCACTAAAGAAACCACATCAATGGATTCCGTGGATTGAAGTCCAGAAAGTTTCTTCATCACCATTGAATTAACACGAACAACATGAACACCACTTTCAACAAACTCTTCTGGAACCGAAGCTTTTTCATGTAAAAGTAAACAATCTATTGTTGTTGGCTTTTCTTGCATTGATTCTTGAAAGTTGTAGATTTCCCTAGTGTTATAAACATATGATTTAGGTTAAAAAAAACCCATATGTTTTGTAGTTAATATAAATTCTTTGAATTTCTAAGATAAAAATGAAATGAACCCAACAAGCCCAGAAATTGCTGGTGTTCGATTCAACGGAAAGTGTATCGAAATTTGAATTATTAGGATAAGAAAATTGACCTTACATGTCAGCTTTTTAATGGAGTCGGCATTCAAAAATGAATCGATTTAATATCAATACAGATGATTCTAAAGTTGTGTGAGGAAATCAGCATAAACCCTTTATAGAAACTGGGGTTAAGATTAGACAAGCATACCTGAGTGGAGTAGTTCCAACAAGAAGAACAGAACCATGAGAATGGCGATAAGATGAGCTGTTGCGAAGCTTTACGCAATGCTTCACAAATGGATTTGATGTGCTTGTGATGGATTTGACATGGAACGGTGGTATAGAAGGTGTCGCCTCAGAAGAACTGCCGTCGCCGACGTCTACATGAGAATTTGGGGTTTTGGTTGGTAGGGCTAGTGAGAGGAAAGAATTTGACCTTGGTTTGCAGATAGTTAAGGGGGAAGATGGTGGGAAGGATGACGATGACCACATCGTATTTGCACTTTGCAATCATTTTCAGTTTCCTCTAGACTGCTGATCTTATAGCAAAACAGCTCTCACATATGGTTTTATAACGGATTAACGAATTATTGCATCAAATTTTACAAAGTTTAATAGATTGTCAAAAAAAAGTTTATTGATATAAAAGTCTTTGTTTATCAATTTGATTGGTTGTGCTGTGACGATTTTTTGTTTGTTTGTATCTTTTAGTTTTTCAATTTTTTTTTTTGGTTTTGTCATTTTAACCTATAACATGCAACATATTTTATGCAACATATTTTCATGTTATCATGAAATATTATTTGCCAAAAAAAACCCTTAATCTTATAAATATCTTGCAAAAAAACCATTAAATTTATAAATATTTTACGCTTTTATCTTATGTATGTTTTTCTTTTTCATATGATACGAATTAAAGGTATTTTTTAACAGCTGAATACATACAAAAAAATCACATTCTGACAAGGATCTAGAGCAAAAACGAACCAAATACATCAAGTTTAAAAGAGAATTTTGAAGCCAATTGTTCCATTTAACTTGGAACTTATCCTACTTATGAACTACCCAACTAAAAGACACATATATTTCTAAAATACCAAACATCTATGTCATCAAACATTCTATCCTTTCTAAAAAACACTATTTCATCATAATTCTATCGTTTCTCGATTTATTTGTATCAAATATGGGTGTCCAAAAATTAACGAATCCAACTGAAACCGACAGATCCAATTACGAACCGACCAAGTGAATTGGATATCCAATTACAATTGGATTGGATCGGATGCTAAATTTCAAATTCCAATTGGATTGGATCGGTTATTGGATCATCCTGAAAAATTCAATGGATAACCAAACCGATTCGATCCAATTTGATATCCAATTTAATCCAATAAATATATAATATTATTATCTAAATCCAATTACTATTATTACACTTTCAATAAAAAAATTAAGTTGAAAACTTGAATTTAATGTTACTTTGTTGGTCTTATTTAGCGTAATTATGCGCGATTTTATTTTTAGTTATCATAATTATATTATTTTATTTTTAGTTATCATAATTATATTTGGTTATTCAATAAAAAGAGATTAAAATTGGTTGGATAATAGATAACCAATGGATTAAACCTCTAAAAAATATTCAATGGATAAAACCGATCTAATCCAACATCCAATTGGATTGGTTTGGTTTGGTTTGTTTTTTTACATAGATTGAATTGGATCGGTTGACAAAATCCAATGGATTATTGGATTGGATGGGTTTCATTGAAATTCATTAGATTTGAACTGATGAACACCCCTAGTATCAAAGACACATCTAATTTTAAAATTCCAAACTAACCACCACGTAGTGACCAAAACTACTTTACAAACCATAGACATATGCAACAAATCCAAAAAACCAAGTAAATCATGGATAAGAATAAGATTATATAAGTCTATATTACACTAACGACTTATCTTGAGAAGAATTTGGGACGTCACTTTACACTTGATGAGAGCATGTCAGATATCTTTTGTAGAGTTGTTACAAATCGGGCATAAGTAACTGGAGAATTTGGGACGCCACTTCACACTAGATGAGAACATGTCAGATATAGACTTATATAATATTATTCTTATATGTGATTTACCTACTTTTTTTGGATTCGTTGCATATGTCTGTGGCTCGTAAAGCAGTTTTTGTCACTACATGGTGGTAAGTTTGGAATTTTAGAAATAGATGTGTCTTTTGATACAAATAAACCGAGAAATGATAGAATGTTTGATGAAATAGTGTTTTTTTAGAAATGATAGAATGTTTGTTGACATAGATGTTTGGAAATTTAGAAATAAATGTGTCTTTTAGTTGGGTAGTTCATAGGAAGCATAAGTTCCAAGTTAAATGGAACAACTGGCTTCAAAATTATCTTTTAAAATTGATGTATTTGGTTTGTTTTTGCTTTACCTCCTTGTTAGAGTATGGTTTTTTAATGCATTTAGCAGTTCAAAAAAAACATACTTAGGGTAAAACGTAAAAATATTTGTAACTTAAGGGTTTTTTTTGTAAAATATTTGTAAACTTAATGGCTTTTTGCAATTAATATTTTATGGTAACTTGGAAGCCTGCTATTAAAAAGGGAAAAATTGAAAAAACTTAAAAAACTGAAGGACGTGAACAAAGAAAAAATCGTCATAAGATTAAAACCAACAAAACTTGAAAAACTTAAAGACTTTTATGTCAGTAACCCTTATTTTATATTCCATAAAGGTTTATCGATTTTTTTCTACAATGCATTTAGCTTTATAAAGTTTAATGGAATATATCTAATTAGTTATTTAGGAATTAAAAACTTTCTTTTTTCCTATTTAAGATTCAAATGGTCATTGAAATCCAAATTCATTAAATGTCAAGGTGACATCACATAATGATAGAGTTTCATCCATTGAACAACAACTAGTTTTGTCATCTCATTCAACTCTTTCATTGAACTCTCCATTATGAATTCTATTATGCTTAGTCTATATTTACCCCATAATTGTTTGGTATACGTCTTGTGTGAGTGGGTGAAGCACATGTGTAAACAACTTTTTATGTGAGTGAGGGGTACATATAATAACACTCATGTATTTAGTGTCTTTTTGGCCAAAATAAATTAATCTATTATAATTTGATTTTTATTAAAGTCATAAACATATCTTATTATAGTTTATAAAGTAGCTTATAAACTAGTTTATTGATAAGAAAACTTTATAAAGTTTATTGATAAGCTAGCTTATAAGCTTCAGATAATTTGTTGATAAACTAGTTTGCCAAATAGAACCTTATTCATAAAAGTTTTTTAGACACATATGATCATGAAACTTTTTCTTTATATACATATAACCCACAAACTGATTTTTTTTATTTCATTAATATTATTATGATTGATTGTATGATAATTTTAAAAAATTCTCAGTTGCATTTTACCAATGATCGTCATAGTAATGCCTATCTAAAAGGTATATATTTACGTATATGTTCATAACGGTTATTTGGATGGAAGCCATCATAGCCTATAGTGTGAGCATAATGTAAAGTGTCAAATCTTGGTCATGGTTCTTGAGGAGACATAATGAATGTATTAACGGAGTTAGGAAAGTTGTCTTCAAAATCAACATGTCCGATTAAATTGAAACTTTCCTTTGTCATTCTTTCTAGATTCGTACTGTGGGTATTGTTGGCGAAATTTGTGTATGGAATTTATATCTAGAATTAAAAAGCTCAAGCAGACGAAGATTTCTTCAGGCAGACAAGCAAATCTTAAAGCATGTCTGATTTTAAAGAATATTTTGCTAAGCTACAACAAATAATCAGGAGATAACGTAGTTAGCTAGATACTATTGGTTATACGAAATAGTAAGAGCTTATTTTCCTAACATATGTTTCACTACAATAACCGAGAAATTCTACCTTATAATCTAATGATTCAAATCTATATTATGCTAACTACATCATCGGTGACATAAGGCGTTGATCAAGCTTAAAGACAGTGTGATATGTTTCTTAGTGCTTAAGATTTCTGATATGCTATTTTAGTGATATGATATGTTTTGTATTATCTATATCTTTTATTTAAGGTAGTTATCATAGTTATTCAAATTCTTGATATGTAGGGATTTGAATCTATAATAGTCTTTTACCTAGTATATAACTTACACTAGGTATCAATGTAATAAACGCTTGGTTCATTCTCTCTGTCTGAAAGATTTCTTCAATCAAAATGGTTTTTGATTAACTTTGTTCTTTTTTCTTTACATTGTTTGATATCAACTGTTCTATCTCGATCCTTCAACTGGTATCAAAGCAGGTACTTTTATCAAACAATGTCGAAACCATCTTCTTCATCCTCTTTTTTTCTGAATCTAAACCTCTTTCTAGTTTAACTTACAGAAATAAAATCCCTCCATTCAATGAGAAAAACTTCTCCATGTAGAAAACTAAAGTGATGGTTGTCCTTGAAACAATGGATCATAATATGATATACATCATTGATAATGGTTCATATATTCCCACCATTGACGAAACCAAGGTTGCAGAAAACGTTAGACATTAGCTAGTCGGTAGACTGGGGTCTAGGGATTAATCGGCTAGGCGGTGATTAAACCGGGGATTAATCGGGGACCATTAATTATAAGAAAATTATTCAAAAATTTATAAATCTAACTTTAATCGTAAGAATATAAATAAATAAGCATAAAAGTTTAATAATAAGGTTAACAAGCACAACAATTTATCATCCAATTAATAAGAAAAGTTATTCAAATTTTAATATATCTTAAGAAAAGAAGTAAATTTGGGTATTTGTATATTCGAAAACATAGAAATTTTGAAAATTTTGGAGAAAAAATTAAAAAATTCAATTAATAAGAAAAGTTATTCAAATTTTAATATATCTTAAGAAAAGAAGTAAATTTGGGTATTTGTATATTCGAAAACATAGAAATTTTGAAAATTTTGGAGAAAAAATTTAAAATTTAAAATTTTTTAATTTTTTTATATATTAGTTGAACATTGAAATACTAATATACTATGAACTTTTGAAATTTTGAAAATTTTGGTTTAAAATTTAAAATTTTGAAAATTTGAAAATTTTGCCGATTAGGCCGCCTAGGACCGATTAGGACCGATTAGAACCGTCTAGCTCCGAATTTGACCCCCTTTGACCAAAACCGATTAAGCCGACCAATTAGCCTTAATCCTATTCGGTTGAAGACCGCCTAGCGATTAATCCCCGATTAATCGGCCGCCTAGACCGATTTTTACAACACTAGATGAAACAAAGGAGGGAGTTGTCAAGAAGACCCCTAAACATCAGTTTACTAAAACATCTTGCTTCGAACATAGGAGTTGCTAAGAGTCAAATTCAGAAAAAGAAACCGATTGTATGGGAAATACTTCAGAAAATTCTGGATGACCATCTTGTATTGCTGAATAGAGCGCCTACTCTGCATAGATTAGGCATACAGGCATCCCTTCCCTATGATATTTACCACCTTTGTTCAGAATTGTGTTTATACCAAAGAGATGATTG